CCTTGAGCAACAACCCTGCAAAGACTTGAGCCAAAATGGCTACCAAAGCTCCCTAAAAAAACCCAAATCCAAAGCTGCCTAAAATCCTAAACCCCAAGGCTCCGTCAACCCCCAAGCCGAGCCCAAAGCATCATCCGCAGGAAGTCAAGCCCACAGCTCCAGCGTTCCTGGACCCCGAGCCCCCAGGTTTAGGGGATTAGGGGTTTAAGATTCAAAAATTTAGGGGTTCAAGGGTTTAGGGGTTTAGGGCTTTAAGGTTTAGGGGTTTAGGGGTTTAAGAACTTAAGATTTAGGGTCTAGGGGTTTAGTATCCCTTCTCCGGTCCGCAAGATAGTACTGCACCCTTATTAGGACCCGAAAAGGGATCCTAAACAACCGACATAGATAGCTACCTAGATGGATAGATAGGCAGCTGGATAGAAAGATAGGTAAATAGGTAGCTAAAGAGTAGATAAACAAATCAAAATATTATATATATATGCGTAATATATACATCTATATATATATATATATAGGTAAATAGACAACTAAATAGATAATCGGGAAGATCGATAGATATAGAGATAGATAGGCAGGTAGATGGATAGATGGAAACTCTAATAGTCAGACAAAAAGACAGATAGACAATGGATAGATACAACTGTATGAGTTTATGAATAGTGTAGTGTTTCGCCGTAAACCCTCAACCCTAGGACCCTGAGGGTTCAGCAAACAGTGGCCTATCGTATGGGCAACCGAGTTCCGAGGGAAGGGTGAAGAGTGAATGCCTGAATAGGATCCCCTGTATGATTTCTTGTATGTTAATTTACGGGGTAATGGACGGTCTGGATAAAGTTTCGGGGTTTGTTTGCTTGGGTTCTTGGGTTTGGGGGTTTTAGGTTTCAGGATTCGGGAGGTGTGCTGCCGGGGATTGCAATGACACATGAGTTAAAGGAAACTACAGGTGGGGAGCTTAGGGTATATAGGGCTTGAATAAGGCTTCTATAAGGTATATACACCTTCCATAAGGCTCCTATAACGCTAACCACCCACCTGAAAATGTCCTAAAGTGAGGCAGATTTAGAGTGTAGGTTCTCCAGCGCCCCTCCTTGCCAGAGCTGCGGATGGCCTTGTTGCAGATCTTCGTTCCTAGCTCACGGTTGGGAGAGTATCAAACATCTGCATTTTTTATTCGTATTGAGTGTAAGAACCCATAAACATCCCTAAACCCTAAACCCCAAAAAGTAAATTCTACCGAGATATGGATCCCTAAACCCTGAACCCTAAAACCCTAAACCCCAGAAAAAGTAAAATGCTACCGAGATATGGATTCCTAAACCGTGAACCCTAAAACCCTAAACCCCAAAAAATTAAAATTCTACCGAGATATGGATCCCTAAACCCTGAACCCTAAAGCCCTAAACCCCCAAAAAAGCAAAATGCTACCGAGCTATGGCAGAAGGGTTCGCGCGTTCTCGGGCATCCCCTGGCTCTGCACTGCAGACTGCCATTGCCAGCCGCCGGAGGCGCACATGGGTAGTTCTCTAAAGTAGGGTCCCTTTTCAGGGTCCTTTCTATAAGAATGCCGTACCCTAAGGGTCCCAGTAGTCCTTATTTATGGTTTTAAGTACCCAAAGTCCTTAAATAATGGGTACTTGGACCCTTAGGGGTACGTACTGTTTTGGGGGCCTAAAAAAGGGACCCTCTTTAGAGAATTAACCACATGGCGATCAACGTCTGAGACTGCTTTAACTTGAACGAAGTCCAGAACCTACTTTTCTGGTAGGGTCCTTACACATTCTATATGAGGTTTGGGTTCCGGGTTTAGGGTCTAGGGTTTAGGATCCTACAAAAAAGGTAGGCTATTGTAGGTCGAGGTATACCCCGCAAAACCGGTATAATGTAAGGGCCTTTATAATTAGAATAGGGGTTTGGGGCCCATTGTACTACATTATACTAAGGAACCCTCAAAATAGTATTGTTAATGATTAAGGCCCCCAAACCCGAAACCTTTTCAGAACCCTTTACGGAACCCTTTAAAGGAACCCTATGAAACCCTATTCTAATTCCTACATGACCCCCCGAAAGAGGCAAACCCCAAAACCCCACACCCCGGACTTCGGTTGCACTAAATTGAAACCCTAAAGAAACAAACCCTCCATGAAGCCAACACCCCTCACCGATACCTAGGGTTTAGGGTTTGGGGATTTACGATTTAGGATTCAGGGTTTAGGGATTTAGGGTTTTAGGGTTTAGGGTTTTAGGGTTTAGGGGTTTAAAAATCTAGGGATTTAGGGTTTAGGGATACCTCGACCCCTTGTAACATAGAGCTTCGAGGCATGCACAGCGTGACAAACACATCTCAGACTCAATGGTGGATCCTCACCCTGACCGAAACGTTATAGTTTAGGGTTTAGGGTGTAGGGTTTAGGGCTAGGAACGAACCCCGAGGCACATAAACATAAACTGATAGAGGGTCCTCAAGAGTTAGAACAGGGCTTTGAAGTATCCTAAACCTTAAACCCACTGATAATCGGACTTGCGGGATGGAATGGTGCCAAACATTAGGAGTTAGGATTATGTACCCTTGGGGATTATAGACCCTCTCAATAAGGTTCCTTTTAAGAGAACCAGAAGTAGGGCTCAGAAGGGTCCCCTTTGAGGGGTCTCCCTAATGCTACCTAGGACCCCATCCTATTCCTAATGATTCTGGCGCAGACCTCTATACACAGGGCCAGGGGTAAGGGGGTGTTGTACTTCAGAAACTCCGCAAAGATCTGAGCCGCCCCACGCACCAAAACCCGGAAAACACGCAAACTTGGCCCAGGATTCAGAAACTAGATCCACTAGTTTGGCAACCTCTTCCCAAAGCTGCTTTGAAGGGAGTCTCTTAAGGTCTTGGATCCTCCAAGGCGTGTGAGTCGCGGGCGTGGACGTGTAGGTTGCTGACCAAACCTCTAATCTAAGCCCCTGAACCCCTAAGAACTCTAAGCCCGCACGGTGCTAGGTATTGTTCGCTTGTAGCTGCAGGCTTTCGGGTTGAAGTTGAGTGTGCGTGGCTAGGGTTGAGGTGGAGTGTATGGGGTTCAAAAACTGATATGGATCTGGATCTAAAGTGTAGGAGTTTCGACGCTGGGTTACACACTGTTACTCCAGGTTTGAAGGCACTTTTGGTACTGGCCGATTGTTTAATCGCGGCATTAACTGTTAGTTGCTCTGGACGTTTGAGCTTGGATCTTACGTGTCTTCTCCTATGCCTTGCTTGATTCAGGCCCCAATTAGTGTGTCCCGTGTTTTTCAACTCCGTCATGGCGGGCATCTCGTTCAGCAGTTGCGCTGCTAAGTTACTCTTCCCTCCGTCTGCACAGGCGAGAACAGCCAACTCGTAGACGACAGTGTCGGCAGCTATGCTGTCCTCACATTTGGCTAGTTGTCAAAATTATGGTCCTCTTTGGGGTACCCTAAATAATAGGTGCCGTATTATAATCAGGACCCAAAAAGGGACCATAATTTTGACAACCACCCATTTGTGGGGGCGTGGACGTATGAACATCATGCAGGCGCCCAATTTAATGTGCTACAGCTAACCCAAACCCTCCAGGTACCTACCATATAGGGCCCTAGGGGCTCTAGTACCCTCTATAGTAGGTACCTGGAGGGTGAGGGTAAGATATTGATTTTTTTAATCAGTTATTGGACTTCCGGCATCAATGGTCATGCGAGGAAGGGTAATGGCAGTAGTCATGCGTGTCTGGTGCTTTTGGGGTTTAGGGTATGGCGGGCGGTTTAGGGAAAACTCGAAACCCTAAAACCTTTACGAACTATGGTAGCCGATAAAGTTCGTCGAAACTTAGGTGTCGAGCATATTACCCTCCAGGTTCAACAGTCCAATGATTACGAAGTTCTTTGGGCCAAGTTGCACCCCTCGGGCTGGGTTTGAGTGCAGTATGGGGGTTTAGGGTTTAGCTTTTGGGGTTTCGGGGCAGGAAGCAGAAAACAGCCACCTGGAGCATGTCGAAGAACAAACGCAGCGCCACAGGCCACTGCGACTTCTGCACGGAAGCGCTCATCCCAGCAGCGATACTCACAGCGCTAACTCTCAGTCGTGTGAACCTTGGGTTTCATGCTTAGGCTGAGGGTTTACGGTCTAGGGTTTGTGAATTTGGGGCCTGCTATAAGGCCTGGGCCTGGACCTTCAGCTGCATTGATACGAAAACTTACTGCTTAATCACTTCCCTTAAATTAACTACGCTGTTCAGTAACCAACGGGGAAACAGTATGTATTTTTTGGGTTAGCTATACTAAAATAGGGAACCAATACCCAAAAAAATGTATAAAACAAATACTACTGAACATCCTAGTTGCACGCTACCCTAAACACTAAACCCTAAACCCTAAACCCTAAAACCCTAAAGCCCTGAACCCAAAACTCAACTTGTAGTTCCATTGTAGTTCCAGGCTCAAGATTCTAGGGCTACCTTATTGGATCCTAAGTATAAGACTGGCTAAACCCAAAAAGGAACTACAATGGAGGGTTTAGGGTTTAGGGTTTAGGGGCTAAACCCAAAAAGGAACTTCAATGGAGGGTTTAGGGTTTAGGGCTAAACCCAAAAAGGCCCAAATCTCCTAAACCTTAGACCCTAAACCCTAATCTCCTACACCCCAAACCCGACAGCGCCCGAATCACCGGGGTGAAGTCCACCGAGGAACGACAGCTCCAAGAGGAGCTGCAATGCTTTTTGCCATGCTCCGCCCTTCTCACAAGCCTTACGGCTGATGAAAACAAATCCTGCATTACCCATAGAAAGGAACATCACATAATTCCCATAGTCTAGGGTCCTTAAGGCCTTATGTGTCTTGGCGTAAGCGCAGTGAAACTACACAGAACCTGTTGCAAAAAAAATGCATTTCGACCTAAAGGATATCGTCAGCAAGACGCGACTCATCCTAAAACCACCTCAGAAACCCTAACCCTTAGGATCGAAGGACTCATATTTCAAGGCTTCTGGGCCCGAAGACCATAGTTAGTACAAAAGGCTTTTTGGCTAGTTTGAGCCTTAGGGTAAGCCTCATCAGTATCAACAGGCGACACCGGAATTTGTGTCGCGCATCAATACACTATACTGCTGACATCGTCTTCTGCGCCGACGTAATCGTCGGCATCCTCATCGTCCTCGTCCTCCTCCCCTTCCTCCGCCTCCTCCTCCTCGTCCTCCTCCTCCTCACCCTCGAATTTATTCTCCCACCCTCCTACGAACATGGACATGACTATCATCGTCACCCTCATCATGACAGCCGATGCTTTCTCCATCTCAAACGCTACTATGCTCATCATAATCATCATAACCATCATCATCATCACCACCATGCTGTCAACACCCTGGTCTTCAAGGCTCTTGTTTCCTTCAGGTTAAAGACTGCAAGATTGATCCTCGCAGAACTAAACACAAGAGAACGTCTGTCCCAGTCTAGTCTGGATCTGGCGGCGCTGACACCGGCGTTGAAGCTGATGGATGTCCTGGGGTTAAGGGTTTAGGTTTAGGGTTAGGGTTTAGGGTTAGGGTTTAGGGTTTAGGGCTTAGGGTTTAGGGTTTAGGGTTGATGTCCTCTCTACGCCCAACATCGACATCTCTGAGAGCAAGCACGAGGCCAGCTGCCACTTTCCATGCTTTTCCAGCGCACTGAGCACCTACTAAGCTGTTCAGTAACCACCTGGGAAAAAGTATATACTTTTTTGGGTTAGTTATATTATATTAGGAACCAATACCCTAGAAAAGTAAAAAAGGATACTACTGAACATCCTAGCCTAGGTTCCTGAGTGACCCCTTTATAATAAGGGTACCCTTTTTCCTGCTGTTCAGTTTTAATCAGGGAACCATACAACAAAAAGGGCCAAAGGGTACTACTCAGGACCTTAGGCACCGAATTGTAGGTGATTCCGTTGGCCCTGACCTTACTTCGCCAATAAGCCAGGGAAATAGAAGGTTAGGGTTTAGGGTTTAGGGTTTAGGGTTTAGGGTTTAGGGTTTAGGGTCTACTGAATTATAAGAACCCAAAAAAGTTTAAAGGTTGGGTATTGGAGAACTAAGTGACTGCGGCAAGTGGGAGGTCCCGAAGCAGTTGGAAGGCCATCTGCCACTGGGAGCCCTTCTCCTTACTTCCCCAATAAGCCATTTAGGGTTTAGGGTTTAGGGTTTAGACTAATTTACAAGAGCCCATAAAGTTTAAAGGTTGGGTATTGGGGAACTAAGTCTCGCAGGCACTCGCCACAGCGCTGCAGCACACCACATCGGCTCGCTCTCTGCTTTGGAGGAGTCCTTACTTCCCCAAAGGGTCCAAGTACTAGTATCGTATATACTTTTGGGGCCCAAATACCTACAAAGTACCTACTATAATGGTACTTGGACCCTTTGGGTTCTTTGGTCCCTAAATCCTTCCTAATCGGTTTAGGGTCCAGGGTTTAGGGTCTAGGGTTTAGGGTTTAGGGTCTAGGGTTTAGGGTGTAGGGTTTAGAAAGTCAGGGAAATAAAAGGCTAAACTTTCAGAGTACTACTAAATTATAAGAACCCCAAAAGTTTAAAGGTTGGGTATTGGGGAACGAAGAGTCGTGACAATAGCTGCATTGCTGCCTGCCATTCGCCGCCACTTTCACAAGCACTGATCGCAGCACTGAATGTGAAAACATCCGGGCACACCGTGGCCCCCTCCATCGTGGCCAAAAGCTGCAAAGCCAACTCCCACAGACCGCCTTTCCTTATTTCGCTTCACCAAGTCGTAAGAACGGTCTTGGGTTCAGAGCTTACGTGCGTAGTATTCGGTGCCAAAAACCCTGCTCTTGGGTACTTGGACCCTCTACCCTGAACCCTAAAAACCCTCAACCCTAAGCCCTAAAATCTCAACCCTAAACCCTAAAC